CAGCAGTGTGATAATACAATGTGTGTCTTAGGAAAGGGCTCCCAGAGGAAAGAATGTTTCTGCCCAGGTCTGAATAGGAACTGGAGTGGGATGGGAGAGGCAGGTGCCTCGGGAGCAGGGACAGTGGGGACAGATGGCAGAATGTCAAGTGCAGCGTGCCTAAAGAATGCCAAGTGCAGTGTGCCTAAAGGGTCTACCCAGGAGGGCACAGCACCCTGAGACGCTAGAAAAGCAAGCAGTCCATGCCACAGGGGGCCACAATTTTACTCTAAGCATAAAAGGGAGCAACCGGTGGTGGGGTGGTTTAAAGTGGAACTGGATTTTGGAGACCTCTCTCGAGGCTGGACTGGAGATGGGGAAGTCCTCTCATGAAGCAGGACCAGTTAGGAGACTGCTATGGAACTGAAAGCAAGCGATGATGGCATTGCCCAGGAGTGCACTCACCTGACAGGATGGAGCCATCTCTCAGGCCCCTGAGATCATCCTGGCCAACTTCACCAGGAGCTGTTCCACGGGGCAGGCTGGAAATGCACTACAGACCACAAAGACATGGATACAACAGCTTCATTTACCACCTCCAGGCCAGACTGCCTGAGTCTGAGCCCAGCTCTGCCCCCTATGGCTTCTTAACCTCTCTTCCTCAATACCCTCCTTTATAAAATGGGGATGACAATGGCACCAAACACTTAGGGTTGTGGTGAAAATTACATTAGTTAGTATATGTAACATGTCTACAATAGATGAGAATAAAGTGAGTAGGAAAGCATTTATTTCTTTTTGTCATATCTATGTTTTGTAGCATGTGGGTTCACTTGTGGGGGCAGGGAGTGAACTTACCGTGAAAAGCAGAGTATAAAGCAGCTCATTAATAATTTACATAGTGTGCAGCTGTGTTATTAGGTACATAAGAGTTTAGAAATGGAAACTTTTTGGGAAATTGAAACTTTGATCCACCTGTTTCTTTTCAATTTTTAAAATGTAGTTACTAGAAAATATAAAATTAGATGTGTGGCTCAGGTTATATTTCCACTGGACAGTAGTGATCTAGAGGAAGGATGAGCAAGAAGCCCACATCAGTTCCCAAGTCCTGGGTGACAACAACTAGATTGCAGAAAGTGACAAGCAAAGAGAGGAGAGTATCAGAGGCCATACTTGTCCTACTCTCTTCTGCTAGAGTATAGATTAGAGATGAGAATAAGATGTTTATGAAAAGCAAAAAAGGGGTGAAGAACAGGGCAGAAGAGGATAAAAATGCAGAGGCTGAGGAGAGAGGAAGGCTGAGGAAGAAACGATACGTGTAACAGAAAAACTGCCCCTGCTCAGAACTCAATACACACAAGCCCTGAATCATGAAAAAGACATGGTCTTAAACACAGCCTTAACGGTCAAAAGACAGAAGTACTATTCCACCAAAGCAGACCTTTCTAATCTGTTATCAAACTGATCCTATCCTATCACATGATACTTAAGTGTTATAATTCCAGATGTTAAAAATTGAAGGAAAAAAGGAAAGAATTCATGGGTACAGGACTTGGTGAACCATCCAATAACTTAATTCTGAATATTGTTCCATGCTGTAATAACAGGACAACAAAAATGTCTTACATGGCCTCAAAAACCCAAATAAGAAATGGGCTTTTCCTCTAGGTCACAGATAATTTTGAGCAGAAATGCAGAGAAAGCAGGCCAGAGAAGTAGACATAAAGTATAGGAAGTACAGTATTATGAGAGCTCAAAGAGCGGGGGTTTGTTTGCAGCAAGAAGGGTGGGAGTTGAGACCAAGCCAGGCAGTTTCATCGGAGAAACACTTCCCTTAGGTCGAGGCTCTTTAGGAGCTAACGGTTCCCCACAGCTCAGCTTGCCCTGCTGCCTGACCCACTGGGAGACTGCGGCCTATAGGTGACGACACTTACTGACACCACACACAGCCAGGTAGAAACTGATCCTGACTGCTAGAAGGACTCCTGATTCCTGCCCCAGTCTCCTTAGAACTGTCGCCCTCATCAGCTAACAGGAACTATCAATGTGGTCATTTCAAAACTGGAATAAAATAGGTGTGCCCAGGGCTCCTAAAACAGCAATACCACGCCTAGGTATAGACCTATCAGAAATGCATACACATATGTACCAAAGCCAGACTCTAGAGTGGTCACAGTGGCACTTTCTGTAACAGACAAATGCTGAAACTGCCCAAATGTCACTGACAATGCGTGACTATGTGGTATATTCACCCGATGGCCCCTATCACCAATGAGTGAACATGCTTCAACCATGGGCAGCACCATGAGTGACTCTCAGAAACTCAATGCTTAAGGAAAGAAGACATACACTAGCCGGGCACAGTTGCTCACGCCTGTAACCTCAGCGCTTTGGGAGGCCAACGTGGGAGAACAGTTTGAGGCCAGGAGTTGGGGACCAGCCTGGACAGCATGGTGGGAGCCGTCGCTACAAAAATAAAATAAAATAAATTAGCTGGGTCTGGTGGTGTGCGCCTGTAGTCTCAGCTACTGAGGAGGCTAAGGCAGGAGGATTGCTTGAGTCCAGGAGTTCAAGGCTGATCCTGGGGGAGGCCATGACTGGAGTACAACACAGGGAGAGCTCCCAGGGTCCCGGTCAGTTCTGTTTGTTGATCTAAGTGTTGAGTGCATGGGCATGTTCAGGCTGGAAAATTCATTGAGCAGGACACTTATGGTATGTCTACTTTCCTAGTATCTATGCTATACTTTAAAAAAAGAAAAAAAAAAAGAAACCTTTGTCTGGTGTCCAGGTAAGACAAGCCTGGTAGTGTCCTTGAAGCCTCAAAGCTGACTTTTCTCCTGCTCCCTTACGCATATCACTTGCTTCTCCTTTGCACATGTGCTTAAGCTGGCTGTCTCCTGGGTGAGCCTGCGTGTCACCAACATATTTATGGTTTCCTCCCACACCAGGCCTGTGATTCACCCCAGTTTGGATGCCTCTGCTAACTTATGCCACCCACACTGATCCAGCCCTTGCTTTTCCTTCCTCAGCAGTTAGGAAGCTCGGAGCATCATTAACGTGTGTATACTCTCAGTTGTTTTACTTCTGCCAGAGCTTCCCAGCAGACTAAAACCACGGAGCACACCCTTTGGGAGTGATCTCAGTCCTCCATCGTGTCCACAGGCAGTGCGGATTAAATTGCTCCTCAGGAGCCAGGAGAGTGTGGAAGGTGAGGGCCTTATCCCTTCTCCCAGAAACTGCTGGCTCCAAGACACCCACTTCAGCCCTCCAGGACCTGGAATGGACTCCCACAGAGGACTCACTAACCTCTTTTCATTCACTGCCTCCTGAGAGTCAACCTGCTAGATAAATTCCCCTCACCGCTGCAAACAGTCCCACAAGGCAAGCAGAGAAGAACCAGAGGAGGCAAACCAAAGAACAAAGAGTGTGTTCTTATTCTGCCATGGATATATCCTTTACATTCATCACCAATCTATTTTGGTAACATGCAACAATTTACAATTTATGCCAAAATTATAAGAACCGTCTAAACAGTCGTAAATGTGAGCTCTCAGAATTTATGCCTGCCAGCCCTCTCTCTTCCATGAGCCCCTTCATGCCTTCCTATCTCACCTATTTCTTTTCTTGCCTAGACGAAGAAACGCTGATCATAATCAAGAATATCCAAGGGTCATTTCATCTTACAAAAACAGCAGCACCCATATAACAGGCACACGGGTAAAAGACTCAAGACATGCTGGTTATATGCTCTCGCAGTTCGTATGAATCTCCTTCTCAAAGTGACAGCTGGAATTCAGGTGCTTCCAGGCTCTGTGACTACCAATGTTGCACACTCCTCGAAGCTGTCAAGCTCTCAGGATTACCCAAGTGAAACCACAACCTGTCCTGACTGTATTCAAGTCTGTGCCCCTTCATGCAGCAGAAATGGATTCCTCTTCCACAGTTTCAGCAGCTGTATCCTTCCGTTGAAAAGGATTAGCAGCCATAAGCCCGGGGGAGGGCAGCTAAACACCAGAGGGCAGGAGACGAGTCTCCTTCCTCTCTGTGACACCCAGCACGGCTCTGGCACGAGGAGCAGGCAACCACCGGTGCCAGATGAAGCGCAGCACATAAAACCATTTTCCCCCTTCAAATGAACGATGCCTAATTAAGCAAAGGCCGCATGCATGACTTAAGACATGAAGATACAAAATTCGTCTTCCGAGTCAGCTAATGATTCTGCGGGACCCTCTATCCTCGTAAACGTATTTTTTTTGTCATTAGAAAAACCCGGGGCCTGGAACGGACCTCGGCCATAAGGGTAAGCTTCTCAGGAGAGACCAAGAGCCGGAGCCCCACAGCGGGATCAGTGTCTGCCAAGGTCACCAAGCTGGTGTGGGGTAGGGGCAGGGCTCCTCGGGGATGCTCTCGGAAAACCCTGTGTTACTTACACACGCAAGGCGTACAACGAATGCACACCCGCGTCAAGCCACGGCTTACAATTCAGAAGAAATCAAAAGGTCGCCAAAACCTGTCTTCTCTGCAAGGCTGGCTGCAGAGAGGGTGCAGGGAAGGTCACCGGCGAATTTCTACCAGCGGCCCCACATCACGCCTCCCCGATGGATGCAGAGAGCCGTTTCAGGAGCTGCTAGTAACCCTGCAAGGGGTCCCCTAAGCCCATCCCAGGAAAACGTGTTAACTCGGCTCTGCTAGCTCCGAAGCTTCCAGCAATGAATTAAATCCCAAGCTGCAGCAGAAAGCTGCGGGGAAAGGGCCACTGCGGCGGGACCCGACAACCGGCGGTCCGCCCCACCCTCCACCGCCTCCACACTTGCCCGGGCGCCCCTGTCCGATCCACACGGCCCGGGACCACGACCCTTCGCCTGCGCCCCGGCCGGGCTCGCCTGAGGGTGCCGTGCCCTGGGCGCTGCCCGCGGGGTTCGAGGCGGAAACGCCGCGCCTAGCCGGGCAGAGACAGGTCGCCGCCGCAGCCCCCAGCCCCTGGGCCCCCGCGACGCCGAGGAGGGGGCTGCGCCACGTACCTCGGCCGGCAGGTGCCGCCGCTGCCTCTGTCCGCGGCTGCAGGGGACGCCGCTCCGCCCAGCCCGCCGCCTTCCTCCGCATACTAGTGAGGGGGCGCCGGCCGGCAGCCAGCCCCGGACCCAGCGCCCCCACCCGCCCCCGGCACCGCGCTCGCGCCCATTCAGCCGTGGGCCGCCGCTCCCCCGCGCAGATGCGGAGGAGGGGCGCGTGGGCGGGGTCTGGCGTCACGAGGACGCGGAAGGCCAATCGGAGAGCACGATGCCTCCGCAGAGGCCCCGCCCCCGGGCACGCGGCCCGTCGGCCCTGCGGTGCAGTGGGCACTGTCGGAGTAGGGCGCCCCCTGCAGGGACGCACCCGGGGCGGGGGCCAGGCTGGGGCGAGCCCCTCTTGGTTCTGGAGAGGAAATGATAAACAGTTTGTAAAAGCATAAATATTCGTGAAAATAAAAAAATTCAGGGAGGAAACAAAGCTTAAGGCAGTGATTGATAGGTTATTTTTTGGACACAGCTGAGCGTATACTGTGCGCCTGCAACTTTCCGGTGCTTTCGGACTGGACTCCAGTGAAGCCAGTCAAGGAGGTCGACTTCCTTTCAGAGCGGCAGACACAGCGCCACGGCCGTGTGCCTGCAGTCCCCTTCTGGGTTTGAAAAAGAATATCCTAGACACCGAGCCAAATATGTTTGCATAAACCGGGAGCCTCATCTCTCTTTTTTGTAACAGCTTGGCGCAGGGCAGCTGGTTTGGAGATGTCTCTGTTCTTCCCTTGGTGGGGGTGCCGGAAAAAAATGTGCTGCCTGGGCGATCGAGGTTGGGGCAAAAAGCGTTGTGAAGGAAACAGTGGGAGGACTCTACTTTCACACCTCCCAAAAGGGTTTTACCATAAGACTATTTCTGGATTGTTCTAACGTGAGGATATTGGGAGCATTTTGAAAATATTGGAGGAAAAACTGTCACTGGGCGATTTAAATCCGGTAAGTTGGCCGAGGCTAGCCAGGCAGAGCTGCTGAGTACCTTGCCCTCTTAATCTTGGAGATCAGCCCAAGGTCCATGTGTTACAGGAAAGGGGTCCCGATCTAGACCCCAAGAGAGGGTTCTTGGATCTCATGCAAGAAACAGTTCAGAGCAAATCCACAGTGCAAAGTAAAAGCAAGTTTATTAAGTAAAGTGGTGTCTGGGCACGGTGGCTCACGCATAATCCCAGCACTTTGGGAGGCTGAGACGCACAGATCACCTGATGTCAGGAGTTCCAGACCAGCTGGCCAACATGGCAAAACCCCGTCTCTACTAGAAATACAAAAATTAGCCGGGCGTGGTGGCGCAAGCCTGTTGTCTCAGGTACTCACCAGGCTGAGGCAGGAGAATGGCTTGAACCCGGGAGGCAGAGATTACAGTGAGCCGAGATCGCCACTGCACTCCAGCAGAGCATTCCTGAAAATAAGAGGAGGGACGTATCCAACTAAGGTACAATGCTTGCAATGCTTGTATATATGGGGAGATATCTTCTGCTACAAGGGTTTGTGATAAAGGATTAATTTTCCTAATGACCATATTTTGCAATAATCAATATTATTATTTTCAAAGCAAAATTAGGAATGCCTTTGTTCTCCAGATATCGGGATATCTGGACACTTTCAAGTCTGGGTCTGTTTAGTAAGCATTATTAATTTGTTCCCTTAACCATAAACATCTAGAGGCTAGGAATGCCTAACTTTCAGGGAATGCGGACTGGCAAGTCCCAGCCTCATTTTTCTAGCCTTCACTCAAAATGGAGGCGCTCTGGTTTAAACGCCTCTGACACATGGGCTTGATGCAACACTCTTTACCTCTCTCTGTCTCCGCTGCCCCTACCCTTCTCTTCCAGATTCCCCTTGTCTGCAAAGCCAGGCCTGATAGCATTATGGCTGCCATGAGAATCAGCACTATCCCAGCTTCCAAGGATGGGTGTAAGGTGGGGGTGCGGAAGAAAAGGAACTTGAAGCTACCTCCTGCCCCGGCATCACAAGACATCTGTTAAGCCCTTACTACCTCATTCACTCCACTCACATTAGGTTGACCCTCTTGGGCAGCAAGACAAGCAGGCCCCCAAACTTCCATTTCACCAGCAACAGAGACATCCTTAGTTATTATTCTGGATTAAGACAGAGATCTCCAAACAGCAGACTAAGATCAGCCTCTAGATCTCAAAGCCTTACTGGTATCTCTCCAAGTCAGTGGCTGATCTCAGAGAAGCTTCTGGATGGTGACTAGCAAAGAGTCACTCGGGCTACTTACAAATCCAGGACAGCAACACTTTTTTTTTTTTTTTTTAAGAGACAGAGTCTCACTTTGTCACCCAGGTTGGAGTGCAGTGGCATGATCTCGGCTCACTGCAACCTCCACCTCCTGGGTGCAAGCAATTCTCCTGCCTCAGCCTCCTGAGTAGCTGGGATTACAGGCAAGGGTCACCACACCCAGCTAATTTTCATAGTTTTAGAAGAGATAGGGTTTCACCATGTTGGCCAGGCTGGTCTCGAACTCCTGACCTCAAGTGATCCTCTTGCCTCAGCCTCCCAAAGTGCTGGGATTACAGGAGTGAGCCACCACGCCTGGCCTAATTCTTTACTTATGCTGATTGGTCATTCTCATAGCAGGCCTTGTGGTTGCCCCCAACATCCATCGACCCTCCTCCTTTGTGATATAACATACCTTTTAAGTGAGTTTACCACAGTCTATGACAGGGTTCTGATTGGTCTAAGCCAGGGGTTCTCAAAATGTGGTCCAAAGACCTCTGGGAGTCCCTGAGGACCTTTCAGGGGAACTCTGAAATCAAAACTATCTCATAATAATCTAAGACATCAGTTACCTTCTTGACTGACAGAACAAAAACAAAGGTGGGTCAAACAACTGGCACCTTCAGAAATCAAGGCAGTGGCACCAAAATTATTAAAATCTGAAAACTTGAGTCATGGCTTTTTGTTTTTTTAGATGGAATTTCACTCTTATTGCCTGGGCTGGAGTGCAATGGCACAATCTCAGCTCACTGCAACCTTCACCTCTTGGGTTCAAGCAATTCTCCTGCCTCATCCTTCCGAGTAGCCGAGATTACAGGCACCTGCCACCATGCCTGGCTAATTTTTGTATTTTTAGTAGAGACAAGGGGTTTCACCATGTTGGCCAGGCTGATCTTGAACTCCTGACCTCAGGTGATTCACCTGCCTCAGCCTCCCAAAGTGGAGTCATGGCGTTTTATTATTTAATATGACAAAACGAAAACTACATGTAAAGTACTTTTGCTGCAAACAGATGTAAGATAGTTGTCTATGTAACATGGTTGTCTAAGTGAGATCATTTTCTAACTTAGAAAAGCACATGTGCAATTGTTTGAATTGCAAGCTGAACTTGTTGTTTTTCTTTATGGAACACCATTTTTACTTGAGAAAATGTCTGATAAACTATGATTATTCTGACTTGGGTATTTGGTACGTATTTTCTTGAAAATGAACTAAATGAGCCTGTGTCTTCAAGGAAAACAACGGACTATTTGTTGCCAATAATGAAAAAATTCCAACTTTCCAAGAGAAATTTAGAATTTTGGAAAACGTGCATCACCATGAGCTTCACGGCTTCTCAATATTTAAGGACTTTCTGATGAGGTCAATGGTGACATTAATGAATGTGATTTTTGGATACTGGATAATGTATAACAACTACATTTACCCAGTGAATCATTGCCTTCCAAATGGTTAACACATGATGTTACAAAGTCATCCATGAGTAAAGATCCATTTAAAGTACAAGGCAGACAATGGGTTTTAATTTAACAATAGAAGTTTACAGAGAAGTTTTCAGATTCCACAGTGCAAAAAACATTTAAAAACAACCTCTTGTAGAGTTTTGGTGTAGTATCAAAGACAAATATTCACAATTATCTTAAAAGGTGTTTAAAATACTTGTAACTTTCCAATTACAAATCAATGTGAGGCCGAGTTCTCTTCATGTGCTACAACCAAAATAATTTGCAACAGATTGAATACAGAAGCAGATATAAAAATCCAGCTGTCTTCTGTTAAGCTAGACTTAAAGAGACTTCCAAAAATGTGTTTTTTAAAAAACAAAACAAAACAACAACTTACTATCACATTTGGGATTCAGTAAAAAGAAAAAGAAAAAGAAAAAAAAAAAGTCATTTTTCTCACTAATCTTTCTGTTTTGGGAAATAGTAGCTTTTTGTTTTTGTTTTTGTTTTTGAGACGGGGTCTTTTTCTGTCGCCCAGGCATGGGTGATATGCAGTGGCATGATCACAGCTCACTTGAAGCCTCACAAGACATCTGTTAAGCCCCTACTACCTCATTCACTCCACTCATATTAGGTTGGCCCACTTGGGGAGCAAGACAAGCAGACCCCCAAACTTCCTTCTCACCAGCCACAGAGACATCCTTAGCTATTATAGCTATTATTCTGGATTAAGACAGAGATCTCGGAACAGTAGACTAAGATCAGCCTCCACCTCTCGAAGCTTTACTGGTATCTCTCCAAGTCAGTGGCTGATCTCAGAGAAGCCTCTGAATAGTGATTAGCAAAGAGTCACTCAGGCTACTTACAAATCCAGGACAGGAGCATTTTTTTTTTTTTTTTTGGAGATAGAATCTCACTCTGTTACCCAGGCTGGAGTGCAGTGGCACGATCTCGGCTCACTGCAACCTCTACCTGCTGGGCTCAAGCAATCTTCCTACCTCAGCCTCCCCCAAGTAGCCGGAACTACAGGTACCCAACACCATGCCAGGCTAATTTCTAATTTTTTGTGGAGACAGTGGTCTCCCTCTGTTGCCCAGGCTGGCCTCAAACTCCTGGGCTCAAGTGTTGCTCCTACCTGGGCCTCCCAAAGTGCTGGGATCACAGATGTGAGCCACTGCATGCAACCAAAACCAGTTATTTTTTGGCTGGGTGCAGTGGCTCGCACCTGTGATCCCAGCACTTTGGGAAGCCAAAGTGGGCAGATTACTTGAGGTCAGGAGTTTGAGACCAGCCTGGCCAACATGGTGAAACGCTGTCTCTGCTAAAAGTACAAAAAATTAGCTGGGCGTGGTGGCATGTGCCTGTAATCCCAGCTACTCAGGAGACTGAGGCAGGAAAATTGCTTGAACCTGGGAAGCAGAGGTTGCAG